CCCCCCCCCCCACCGCCACCACTCCAACCCCCTTGTCAGTTCAAACTTGGTGCCAGGATAAGTCCTAGCACAGCCTTCCCGACACCTCTGCTTACCCATTATAATCGGTTAAAAGGAAGGTATTGTCACTGCCATTCTCGAGTGCATAGGAGATTGGCGTCCCATAGTTGGTGGTGTCAGAGGATTTCATCCAGAACGTGCAGGTTACAGCACGGAGGGATGGAAGCACACCATCCAGCATGACGTAACCATAGATGCCGGAAACTTCAAAATCCAGGTTAAAACCTGCAGACTGTTCTGCAACAAATAAGAAAGTATAAGCACACATACAGACGGTCAATAGACACGTGAAAGGATATTCAACATCGCTGACTATTAGAGAAATGTAAATCAAAACTATCATGTGGTATCACCTCACACCAGTTAGAAGAGCCATCATTAAAAAGTCTACAAATAATAAATGTTGGAGAGGGTGTGGAGAAAAGGGAACCCTCCTGTACTGTTGGGAATGTAAATTGGTGCAGCTACTTTGGAAAACAGTATGGAGGTTCCTCAAAAAAGTAAAAATAAAGTTACCATATGATCCAGCAATCTCACTCCTGGGCATATATCTGGAGAAAACTCTAATTCTAAAAGATAGACGCACCCCGATGTTCACAGCAGCACTATTTGCAATAGCCAAGACGTGGAAGCAACCTAAATATCCATCAACAGATGAATGGATAAATAAGATGTGGCATGTATACATATATATGGACCATTTAAAAATGTGGACCATTTTTAAAGTCTTTATTGAATCTGTTATAATATTGTTTCTGTTTTGTTTTGTTTGGCCACCAGGCATGTGGGATCTTAGCTCCCCAACCAGGGGTCGAACCCACACCCCCCTGCGTTGGAGGACGAAGTCTTAACCACTGGACAGCCAGTCCCTAGCAAATTCTTTTAAATAAAATCATCAGTGAGTATCTAAGACAGGAAACGCACTCAGCAGTGAAAGGAAGCTGAGAAACAGGGAATAGCTGGAAGGACAGGTGGGGTTGGGGAATCATTAAAGATGAGAGACTCTAAGCACATGTGCGGAGTGATTGATACTGCAGGAGAGAAGGAGGGGGTCACTGCAAGGGCAACGCTCCATCCCTGCTCAGGGCTCTGGCTCTTCTCCATTTTATGAGCCCCAATCCTGCATATCTCACTCAACAGAACAAAAGTCCTACAGCCAAAAGACTCCAGTGCTCTGAGAAAGCAGTTTAGCATTGACTCCCAAACATATCCATGGATTCTGACCTTCTAAATCAAGTGACCTTTCAAAGCATCCTTTCTAAACATGCAGAATGTGAAGAGTTCTGCTAAATTAGATTTCTTCCATTTCTCCCTTACAGCTCTAAGCTTCAGCCTCCTGTGCTACTGGAGATAACATGAAGCAGTCTTAGTGGGTGGCTGTGAAGAATGAGTACAAAATGCTTGGCATAGTTTTTGGTATATAGGTGGTGCTCAGTGCAGGTAAAAATTGACACTGTTATTATATCATTATTGTTAGTATCGTTATTAATAACATGAAGTTCATATATACCTGTTTCACACCTGCTGCCTGAAAATCCTGGCTGACATTTACAACTGTATGAGTTTAATTCATCCACACAGGTGGCCTGATTTCTACAGGGGTTAGACTGACATTCGTTGATGTTCAAATCACAGTGTGGCCCTGTGAAGCCCACTGCACACTGGCACCTGAAAGAAAACAAACTATTGTAACAGAATAGTTGCAGAAAGGGCATTAGAAGCAGTCTCCAATGACAACATTGTCTCAAAAGACTCTGAAAAGCTGAAGTGCTATTATGATCTCTCTTATATGTGGAATCTAAATATATGTGTACACACACACACACACACACCAAGCTTATAGACCATAAGCCAGAGACAGGGGCGTGGGAGGTGGGAGAAATAGGTGAATCCTTTTTCTTTTCTTTTTTTTCAGTTTAACTAAATTGAATTAAAAGAAAAACCCTGAAACGCTGAAACATATTTTCCCCATTAAAACAGCGCTTTAACTGTTACTTTTTTTAGTTCATTCAAATAAACCTATTTAAGACAACGTATATTTGAGATACTGTAGTAGCAAAAATAGAGTATAAAGCAGTTCTGGTCAAGGTGAAGAGTATTATTCATACATTGGGAATTTCTCTCCCCACAGAAGCGCTAGAAAAAAAACAAAAAGTCACATATGTTAATCCAATCTTTATAACAATGAGGTACCTTACAGATGAGTAAACCGTGGCTCAGAGAGTCTAATTCGCCTCAGTCCTCTTTTTACTAAGTGCCGGAGGAGGACTTTGACCTCAGTCTAGTGGCTTATTCTTAATCAATATGCCATACAGTCTCCGTGGTATGCAACGAACGATTTAAACCCCTCAGAATGGAGAACACACCTAATGATGTCAAATGTTGACAAAGGTGTCATGAAATGGGAAATCTCAGTGAGTACAACTACCACTTGGCAATGTCAAGGGCAGTGGAGAGTTTGTACTCCCAGAGCCCTGTGTGTCCATTTCTAGTATGAACTCTAGGAGATTTACTGCCCAGGTGCACAAGGACACATATAACACGTGTTCACAACAGCATCATTCTACATGTTCATGGAGAAGTGAACGGGAAAATAAACCATGGTATAATCATTCAGTGGAATACTAATCAGCAGTTGAAATGAGCAAACTAGAGCCAAATGTATCAGTCTTGAAAATACATAGTATTGAGTGAAAAAACAAAACCCAAAATACAAAGGGATATACATACATATAACATGATACCACTTAATGTAACACGTCAAACTATACTATATGCTGTTTATGAAGTCATATACATAGTAAAACATAAAGTCTGAATGAGAAAGATATAAACCAACTTCAGGATAGTGATTACTATTGGGGAAGAAGAGAAATATGTGTGGGTGTTGTGCATGTGTGTGTGTATGTATGCATATTTGGAGGGACTCCAAATCTATCTTTAGAATTTGATTTTTTAAAAACAAAAGATATAAATCAAATATGGCAAAAGGCTAAGGTTTGATAATTACTGTGATGAGTGTATGACTTTTATTATTCTTTGTAATTTTCTGTATGTCTGAAATATTTTTAATTAAAAAGGAACTGCCCAATAAATGTAGTTAATATTGTTACCAGCATGTTTATATGGGGACCTCTTTGATATTGGCAATAATATGAATAAATGGTATTTGGGGGTTTAAAAGAAAACCTCAGTTGGAATTGGCGTGCATCTTTATGGAGTTCTGTGTAGTTGAGGGTAAATCTATTTTGGCTAGAATTTCACTCATCTTTATATGTACATGTGTGATATCATTATGGCAGTTCAGTATCTTTGTCTATGAAACAGATTCACTTTGGTGGCAACTAACATTCTTTTTGAATTAGGAGGGTTTATCTTCACCTTTCCTCTAGTTAGGATTTAGACAGATTTGGTATTCATCAATTGTTTTGGACCCTGGGGAGAGTTTGGAACTCTTGCTGTTCATTTGGAAATTTCTTATTGCCTATGGTTAGGGGCTGTATGCCAGAAGATATAAAAAAGCCCATGAAAAGATGATGCTACCCTGCTAAGACCTCATTTCCATATTAAGAGTGAAAGTCTCACTGGCAGAACTGGCTTCCTATTTCTTTTTTTTTTTTTTTTTGCGTTATGCGGGCCTCTCACTGTTGTGGCCTCTCCCATTTGCGGAGCACAGGCTCCGGACGCGCAGGCTCAGCGGCCATGGCTCACGGGCCCAGCCGCTCCGCGGCATGTGGGATCCTCCCGAAACGGGGCACGAACCCGCGTCTCCTGCATCGGCAGGCGGACTCTCAAGCACTGCGCCACCAGGGATGGCTTCCTATTTCTTCCAGATAGTATGCTAGCTCTGTTAGGGGACAGTAATGGAAGGGGGCTGAACCGGGAAAGTGCTGGGAAATGTTGCAACTGGGGTAGAATTCTTTTTTTTTTTTTTTTTTTTTTTTTTTTTTTTTTTTAATTTTTTAAAACTTACAGACACATTTTTTTTTTTGGGGT